CTGTCATTTATCCGTAAAGATCCTGCAAGAGTAGATAACAGAAAAAAGAGAGGTGGGGTGTCAGATGAAGACAGAGAGATACATGGGAAATATTTCTAATGAGGTGGCTCTGACCACATTCTGACTAAATGTAGTGGGAATACAGTCCATTTTCAACTAAATCATTTATATGTTAATAAGGTATCGAGAGCAGTGATGTGGCTACCAAAGAAATTAATCATATGTTCTCTATTTAATCCAAAGACACTATGGAATATGCAAATATTTAAATGTAATATTAATTGAAGCAAAATAATATGACCTTGGGAAAGTGGTCAACCAGAAATTGTTTATGTATCCTAAAGCTCCATTGTTTGGAAATATTATAGCAATGAGGAGAAAGGCAGAGACTTGATTCTACCACACATTTATGGATTAAAATCTAAGAGTCTCCAAGAAAAATCCTGAAGAATACCATGGTGCCAAATATAAATCAGAAATTTAGAGCTTATAAAAAAGATGGTGAATATGAACTATGATTTCTTACTAATAAGGAATGGAATACCTAAGTGAGGCTGACATGCATAGTGCATTCCATAGAAATAAATAACATGAATAGAGAATGAAAATCTTCAGGGAGAAGCAGTCACTTACACCCACATGGCCAGTGATCTAAAAAGTGAAGGAAGATTAATAGATATATTTCTTTATAAACACCCCCAGGTATTTTAACCTTTGGATTAGGGTGGCTAAAGCTATTTAATAGTCTGTCTGTATAATGTCTGTTTGTCCATGTATATATGCAGATAGATAAGTAATAGATACATACATATATCAGTAAAGAGAAAGATATGTAGATAGGTGATAGATAGATCAATACATATGAATACATACATTTTTACATATTCGTGCACACACACACACATAGATCTTATACTTTCAAAGGTAATTTCTATTAGATGTGATGCAAACTTCTCAGGGCTCAATGAGATAGTAAAATCTACTCATGAGGTCATTATTCAGATTAATTTATGCATGTGCTGTGAATTCAACACCAAAGTCATTCCTGTCACTTTTGACTTTCACACGTAACACAACTCACCTGTAGTCATCAATGTATCTCTGATTCTCAGGTCTATATTCCTTTCATAAATGTACTAAAGTAATAGAAAACATTATTATTCCAAGTTTATATATCCACAATAATTTCCTGAGAGCTGTTTTTTAACCTCAGTCTTTCCTCTAAACCATTTGTCACGCATGCTATTATAAATTCTTTGAGAATAGAAATAATGCCTGAAAGTCTGTTGTATGCTCACTCATCTAATGACAGCTTCGAACTCGTAACAGGTGATTTGCAAATTCTTACCAACAGACATAGCTTAGAGTCCTCTTTAAGAATCTAGGCCAGGCCGGGCGCGGTGGCTCACGCCTGTAATCCCAGTACTTTGGGAGGCCGAGGTGGGTGGATCACGAGGTCAAGAGATCGAGACCATCCTGGTCAACATGGTGAAACCCCGTCTCTACTAAAAATACAAAAATTCAGCTGGGCATGGTGGTGCGTGCCTGTAATCCCAGCTACTCAGGAGGCTGAGGCAGGAGAATTGCCTGAACCCAGGAGGCGGAGGTTGCAGTGAGCCGAGATTGCGCCACTGCACTCCAGCCTGGGTAACAAGAGCGAAACTCCGTCTCAAAAAAAAAAAAGAATCTAGGCCAGCCAGTAAAAGACATCAAAATGATAACATTTAGCTATGACTTTGATCTAATAAAAAAACCATTAATCCATGGTCACGTTATAATTGTATTTCAAACATGAAGCAAATAAAATATCAGTAGCATGGCAAAAGTACTAGGGGTTGGGGGAAAAGAAGACACAGCATTGTTTGAAGTGTGATGGAAGTACTGCCATAATGAATTTTTAGTCTAAATTGAACTGTATCTTTGTGACAGTTATTTAGGAAATTCCAAATTTTTCATGGTTTTCCTAAGTAAGGGGTCTGGCAATAAAAAAATAATCTGGCATTTATCTTGTGGAATTCAGGCAGCCACAGAAGCCCAAATAAATCTAATTTCCATGGTTCTCGTGATTTTCATAGCCATTTGCAGCATGGAAACTCTGTGTTTGCTATTACATTAGGACTATAAATATCATGTAATATGTACCCTATAAATATGCAATAATTATGGAATGACCATGTGACTTAAATTGTTACAAATATAATCAGGGTTATGGATTCTCACTACATTGAGGAATCAATCATTTTAGAGGCTTGAGGTCATATGGGGCAAAGGTAGTAATTTCTCTGCACCCTTCTCTGAGAACTAGCCGACACACTTTTTAAAGCAGAGTGGAAAAATATAAGAATGTGACAAAGTGTCACTTTCATTAAAAACTTTAGATTGTATTTCTATCTACACGAAAATTTTTTAATTATTGGACAGAGAGGTGTTTCTGAAATGGAAACTAGAGCAAAAATTCCAAAATCCTGCCTCGTGTCAAACTCCAAAACTTTCTTGCTACTCAATACCATTTAAAATTTGCCCAGCAATTTTTTTACACATACTGCAAACATTGACTTACTATGTCAGTATCATTCCCAGAGATGAATCAAGACTTTATATCAGGGCACCTATGACACCCCTGAATAAAATAGATGAGACAGAGGCAGGGTGAGAACCCCTCCTCCTATTCACAAACGCTGGGACTCATACAAAGATCTATGCCAATAGGAAAACCCATGTATGAACACATGAGTCATTGATGCTTCACATTAAGCAAAGAAAGCTTCAACTATCCTTATGAGAGAAGTTACATTTTGCTCCCCTTATTATATTTCTCATATCTTCTTCTTATATCTCCCCTTTTTATGTTCTCATTCTAGCTCAGAAATTTAGATATTAATTGTAAAGACAAAAACAGGCACAAATATTTCTCAACATTCATACAGAATCTTAATACTTTAATTATGGAAGAGCCCTTGAGCATTGACTAACAGACCAGCAGAAGCCCATAGATGAAGCTTACACTAGGGAAGGGGAGAGCAGGTAAATATTCTAGCAACGGCCTGACTCTTCCAAGCCTATAATCCAGAACTGTCTAAATAAGGATCTACAGAGCAATTAGCCAAGGAAACTGAACCTATGGGCAGCACAAGCCGTGTCTACAGTGACTTAAGAGATGTTTAGCCTCATATCTTCCCCAGGTGATTGTTTAAAAAACCTAAATTGAAAAAGATTTTGCTTTCAGAAAAGCAGGATGTGAAGATACTGGGGGGCTATAACTATTTCACCTCCAGATATAAGCCAATTATAGAATTTTCTAAGAAGTTAGCTGAAGTCCCTGGTCCAGGATAAACGGTCTCTAAGCCTGCACAATAAGCACTGGTTGGAATGTGAATAGTTGAAGAGCCCATGAGGTTTTTTTTTTTTTTCTTTTGACAGCAAATGCTCATTTCTTGTAATTTTCAAAGGAGTCAATGGTGCTTCCTCCTTAATACAACTCAGGAATGTGATTGAAAACAATCACTTTAACACCCTCTCAAATTTCCCAATTTTATTATTCACAAATTCTTCTAACCCCAGAGACTTTGACATAGATGGAAGGGTTAGAATTTTACACTACAAGTTACATAAAGTTATGAAATTAATAACAGTTCTTTGTTATCCCTTTTCAGAACCAAATAACATTTTTAATATTTTATCTGACTGTGAGCTTCAGAAGAGGCAAGGGGAAGGGACAGCTCCTACTCAGAGAAATATCAGGGACCCCTGACATAATCTCACTCTCAAAATAAGGAAATACTAAGATTAAGTATTTTGCCCACGGTCATAGTGCTAATTAGTAACATAACAAGATGTAGTAACTAGTCTTTCTAAAGTGAAAGCCTCTCTCCTCAAACAAAGCATCTAAAAGCTATTAGATCTATAGTTCAATGATCAATCTCCCAGTTAAAATTCTGCAGAAATATACATATGCATAAGAAACTAATCAAATGATCTTATTCCTTTGCCCCACTGCTCATAAAGCTATGAAAGACAAGGTCAGAGTTCTCTTCACCATAGGCTGAAGCACAGTAATTTGCTGCCTGCTAATATTTATCTTCCATCTCATAACTCATCTAAGGAGATATTAAAACCATGATTCATCCAGGTTTTCAGATTTCCTAAAAATTAGTTTCTGTAGAATATTTCATATATCTTCATTTAATTCACTATCAACTTACTTTGCAGTGGTAACTTTGAAAGAAACTTTTCCTCCTTCCTCATTCACACAGAGCCAAGCCTGAGAACCCAGAATGTGAAAACATGACTTTACAAGGCTGCTCCTGGAAGGGGCTGTGTTTAATGAATTGAGTGTTGAAATTAATGTGTATAGATAAAACATATGCAGACCTAAGTTCATTTCTCTGAGTCCTTATCCATTCTTCAAGGTCGATTTAAAATCAAAACTATTTCATGAAGACTTTCTTAGCAAAGCCAAGCTTAGCTATTTCTGCCTGCTAGGACATCCTACAGTGCTGAGTTTAAGAACTGCATGTTCAGCACTTAGCACACGCTGTCTTTAGTTCAGGAACATCTCGTGTGCCCTTAACCCCACTGCTTCTTACTTTTCCCCACTGCTTATAAAGCTATGAAAGATAAGGTCTGCTGGTCCACTGGGCAGCTGGGTACCTGCAACCCACATACTGACCCTGAAGACACTCAGCTCCCTTCTGTTCTCCCAGTGTGGAGAAGAGGAAGACATTTTTTTTTAATCCCATATCTCAATTGAGATAACCTGGAATTTTCCAAGGAGTCTCTCCAAAAAGAGGCTAGACTATTTAAAACGATCTCTGCTAAAGGAAAAACAAAGTTAAAAACAAAAAAGTAGCAAAATCATAGAAACGGTCCTATTTACAGTGCACATGTTTTAATCATAACATAAAGTGGATCTAACCACAGACTGGCTTGCCTGGTTTCATTTCTGGGCATACAGGCCCTCAGTTCTTATCCTCACCAACCCCATCTATCCTAGGTGCCACAAAACTAATTTGGAGAACATTCACACTGGAGCTTTCTTGCTGGTCATCTTTGTCAGTACTAGGTCACCTCGATGCTTCGTCTGAGTTCAGACTGTCCTGTCTTTTATCTGGACGGCTACCTCAGTGTAAAAACCCAAGCTCTGACCTTCTGTGCCTTGCGATAAACTCTCTTGCCCTTTGGTAAGTCCATGCCTGTGGTCATTCCCCACCAACCTTCTTTCCAGAATTCAAATATATTCAGGTATAAGATTCTCAGGGAAACTAAACACTTAAACGAAAAATACTGTAAGCTTTCTCCAGGCCCTCCCAGACTCTTGAAGCTCATTTTCAGAGCCCTTATTTTAGAATGCAGTGACCTTGCAGATGAAGATGGGAGGTACCCGTTCCCAGAGCTTTTTTTCCTTATGTGATCCTCTGCCTGCTCCTCCTTTTCCCCATCCTGTTTCTCATCCAACAATAACACCTTCCCCATTTCATAAGCCACCCATCCTGACTTGGCACTTTCATTGAGGTCCGCTCTGGAAAGAATACTCTTAATTTTCTGTTAATTTGTAGAGCAGTGAGGATTAGCATTCTCTCTGGCCCTTTTCAGAAGAGCCTGACAATTCTTCCTGCTCTCTGAGACCTCCGAGTTACCTCCTCTCAAGATTCTACATGTTAAAGTTATGCAGTGTTAAAATGCACTTATAATTCTAAACACACACACACATCCAGTAAAAAAGATCATTCTCTTATGTTTCTATTGTTTTTTAACTTTTTAATAAAATCAAGTTATTTGAGACATTAATTTTGATCTCAGTGTATTTTCCGTCTCCCTTCCATTCATTTAAAGAAGGCAGAGCCTCTGTGGTTTATTGCTTCAGGAGAGGCAGACCAAGAAGTCGCTTGAAAGTCTTTCTTATTTTGATATTTCAAAACCCAAAACCCAATGGAGAATGTATACAGCTGGCAAACTAAACAGAGCAGCTTTGAGGAAACATCAAGGGAAAATGATTTGCCCCAGACTAAGGATGTAGTTTGGGAAAGAACCAGAGAGGCAATATCTGCAATTTTTCAGAGCACGCAGGTCCCATTAGAATGTGGAAACGTCTCAGGAACCCAGAGAGTGTTGCCTGCATGTTACGTGTTGCAGAGGGGCACACGCAGCCTTGAAGACACTCTCCATGCCCCAAACCTAGCAAGGAAGCAGCAGACCATCACAGGATATGAGGAAGCCATGCAAACTGGGACGCCAAATTTCCTAATACTAGCTTATCTGTATGCATAACTGCGTACCAGAGGCTACCTTTGCTTGGCATTACACAAGCACAGAACTGTGTGTAGCACAACTCTGGAAAAGGGCAGGGAAAAGCCCCGAAGTAACAAGATCACAGTTTTTACACTACCTTAAATTACTTTTTAGAAGACAAAAATGATTCTTATTTTCATACAGGTGAATTTGTGAATGGAATTTATACTTTTTCATTTATCTCTACACTCCACGTACCCAATTACTTTTATGATATTTGAAGACAAAGATCAATCTTTTATCATTTGAATCTGTAAAGGACCTTGAATTTAATTAGCACTCAATAAATTCTGTTGGATTAACATTACCAAATCATAAAATCTTTGAACTGGAAGCATGAGAAAATCATTTATTCCAATCTTTATTTCACAGATGAGGAAACTAAGCCCAGGGAATTAAATTTTCCAGGTCCTACATAAAGTTTTAGGTCTGTTTTCCTTCCAGAGTAATGTTAATCTTCTAAAGATTGATGTTCATATTGCCAGCTCCTTCTTGAAGACTGGAACTCAGTAACTGACACACCAATAAAGCCACTTAAATAAATAATGCATGTTTAAAATTGTTCTTTCAAACCCACCCAAGCATGCAACACCTTTTAGAAATACTAGGGACAGTGGTTCAGATTATCTTTTGCACACACTTCCTACTCTCCTAAGGATGTTCCTTCCCTCTGGACTACTGACTGATAACCCTTTATATCTGTTTTTATCTTGAAGCCATCACCTCTACCCTCAGAAGAATATCAAGAGCACCACTTTTGTTAGGTCTCTTCCACTCAGGGAGGTTCCTGGGGAGTAGTAAAACTAGATTGACAAAGTTCCCAGGCCTGGAGGGAGAAGATGTGGTTTGCCAGATGATGCTAAATAAAAGCCTGAATTGTTATCTGAATCTTTGATGGGAACCAAGTACAAAGGTAGACCTATCTCGGTGATAGCTACCAGCGTTTTGTCCTCTGAATACCTGCTGCTTCCTTGCTGATCTTTTACCTTTTCTTTTCTTCTCAGTGTCGCACTCAGCTTCATTTTAATCTGATTTAACCTACAGGAAATATTTAAGGGGTAAGAGAAAAGAGTAGGAAGTCATGAATTTGGGGAACTGTTCTCATATTTTCCCCTTCCCTTGTCCTCTCTCCTCTTGGGTTTATGTATAATGTGAGAAAGTTTCCCCAAATCTTCCAGTCTTCAAGAGTCTACTTTCATGGCCAGGCACAGTGGCTCACACCTGTAATCCCAACACTTTGGGAGGCTGAGGCAGGCAGATCACTTGAGGTGAGGAGTTTGAGACCAGCCTGGCCAGCATGGTGAAACCCCATCTCTACAAAAAAATGCAAAAAAAAAAAAAAAAAAAAAAAAGCCAAGCGTGATGACGCACACCTATAGTCCCAGCTACTCAGGACATTGAGGCAATTGAATTGCTTGAACCCAGGAGATGGAGTTTGCAGTGAGCCAAGATCATGCCACTGCACTCCTGCCTGGGTGATAGAGTGAGATTCCATCTTAAAAAGAAAAAAAAAAAAAAGGGTCTCCTTTCCATTTCATATCTATGTAAATAACAAGAGCTCTCCTTTGATGGGATCCAACTGCAGAGGAATATCCACCATCTCTACAATATTCCTTAAGCTATTGATTCCAGCTCGAAATTTTGAGGCCAGGTGTAGGTGTCAGTCCCATCATCTCACACACTGAAGCTCCTGTCCTCTCTACACAGCCCAGGTGAAGACAGAGCTCCAACTCCTCCTGCATTTCCCAGCACATCACTGACTCAACTGAGTTATGTCTATTTTTTGTTTGTTTTTTTGTTTTTGTTTTTGTTTTTGTTTTTTTCTGAGATGGAGTTTCGCTCTTGTTACCCAGGCTGGAGTGCAGTGGCGCAATCTCGGCTCACTGCAACCTCCGCCTCCTGGGTTCAAGCAATTCTCCTGCCTCGGCCTCCTGAGTAGCTGGGACTACAGGTGCACGCCACCATGCCCAGCTGAATTTTTGTATTTTTAGTAGATACGGAGTTTCACCATGTTGACCAGGATGGTCTCGATCTCTTTACCTCGTGATCCACCTGCCTCAGCCTCCCAAAGTGCTGGGATTACAGGCGTGAACCACTGCATCTGGCCTATATCTATTTTTAATAAAGGTATAGGGAGATTACGGCACCGGACAAAATGAGAAATAACATTAAAAGGAATATTTAGACATCATTTTTCTTTCAATGTCCCTCAGTCATCACCATGACAGGGAATTTCTCATCAGTCATTTGTCTTCTTTGGCCTCTGTCTAATAAAATTTGCTAGGTCCCACTCTCACCTTCTGTCCCAATACCTGCCTTTGCTCTGGTCCCACTTCTAGACCCATTCAACCTATTACCCTTTCCAGATGCCGTGTTAGAGTCCCCAGCTTCCCCTGCTTAATCAAGCAGCATAACTTATCTCACACTTATGTTATTCTCAACTCCACACTAAATTGTAAGGCCTACTTTTATATAACTAAGAAGGCTTTCCAATGAAATTTGTTAAACAAAAGCCACATATCCTTCCGATTAATTATGGCATGCCTATGTGACATAGGACAGCATGCCTTTCTTTTATAATAGTAACTGTTTTCTCCCAATGTGAAAACGTGGAGCTCTATGTGTCTAAGATAAACAAAATCATTCTAAGGTGATTTCCAAGTGAAAATATCTTGAATTCAAGCTTTATATTTCAGCTCAGGAATGATCAAACCAATCTCCACTGTGGTCTAATTACTACTGTGCCTCCCAATTAGCCTTGCATGGTGGATCACAGTACAAAGCATTTGCCTTAGATAATTTTAAAAGCCAATATTTTGACTTAAAACTTGCTGTCATTTTAGAAGTTTTGAGGTAGTTTATCAGAAGTCTGGAATAAAATCTTTAAGATAAGGTTGCATCTCCTTGAGCCGAGGCCCACAGTGGCAGAATAGTGCCCTGTGATTGGTACAAAGCAGGCAACACTAGCTGCCTCTAGGAGGCAGGCCCCTGGCACGAGCGACATCACTGAATGGGAGGTGGGCAATCTCTATCAAGAAGTGGCCTAAAAAATTGTTATGTGCATTCAAAGATGTCCATCATACCCAAGGACAGCTTCAGGTCTTCTGAGTTACCCACAGTAATAATCTAAGGAAATCTTTGCCTCAATGACAAGCACCCAACTCCCAGGCAACTTTAACGTCATAGTGAATGACCAGACAAGTGTATTCCAAGTGTGTTTTCACCTCCAGGACTTCTTGGTGCTAAGAGAATTATCTGCCTGCTCAGGTTATCTCTTTCATGAACAGGCTCTAAAGTAGCCACATTTCAGGCACATAGAAACCAAATAAAGAAATACTGTGAGCAACATCTTCAAACAAATTAGTGCTAATAGTGTTATTTCAGTGCACATATGCATTGACACTTGTATATCTTATCTTTCCTCGAGTTGTTGGTTAGTTTGTCTTCTCTATGCTAGGCAAAGTCCTATCACAGATTAAGATTGTGTTCACATCAATGGAATGGTCCACTGGATGGGAATTTGTTCTTACCAGCAGAATAATCACTGGAATGCAGTTTTCCTTGAATTTGTTTACAGGTCAAGTGCATGCTGTTTAGTTACATAAATTATTTCAATACAGTAGTCTCCCTTTATTCACAGAGAATATAATCCAAGACCCAAGTGGATGCCTCAAACCACATATAGCACCAAAACCTATATGTACTGTAAAGTTTGAGATATAACAGAAAAACTAGCACATATTTCCTTTTTCCTTCTCACAGTTTCACAGATAGATTTATTCTTACCTTAGATCTTAGCAACCCCACACTCCATTATTTTTCTTTCCTTATTAGGTCAAGAACTTTCACCATTTTACTTAAAGTAAACACTTTATGGCTTCTCTTTGGCATATCTGAGTTGGTAGGATAATTACTCGTGCTTTTTGGAGCATTATTTAGTAAAATAAAGGTGACTTGGACACAAGCATTGCAAAGTACCACCTCAGTTGATCTGATAACTAAGATGGCCCTTAGGTGACCAGCAGGTGGGTGAGCTATCCAGCATGGCAATGCTGGACAAAGGGAAGATTCCTGGTCTGGACAGGCTGAGAGTCTATCACACAGAATGACATACAACTTAAAATTTATGAATTTGTATTTCTGAAATTTTTTATTTAATATTTTCAGATCCTAGTTAACCACAGCTAGCCGGGACTGCGGTGAGAGCGTCTGTGGATAAGGGAGGGCTATGGTAACACTTTCTTCATAGGAAAGTTAATTCATAGTTTATTTAATTTTTCAAAAGGCATATTCATCATGAAAGAAAGTTTTAACTCAAATAACTAAGTCAGTTATCCATTTTATGCTTTGTGATTTAAATTTAGATTTAAATCAGGCATGAATATCTCCACAATAGCCAGTGTTTGAAAGGAGCTGATTTTCTAAAATAAAAATTTCTTAGAACACCATTTCTTATAGCAAAGAAAGAGAATATTTACCTTTCCTTCCCATTTAAAAAAATTTATTCCTCCCTATTGCTGATGGTTGATAAAGCCAGAAATCAATTCTAGCATCTTTGCCACACTATACTGAGCATCTTCCATCCATTCATTTGTTTATTTGTGAACGTTGTCAGATTCAAAATGGAGTCACGAATGCTAAGAAAACCCTAACAAATAAAGCCAGGAAAAGGAGGCTCTCACGTTTCTATGCCTGACAACAAAAAAGATTATACAATAACCACAACCTTGCACAAAGGCCATCACAACATTACACACAAAAAAAATGCTTCTGCAAAGACATCTGCCCACCGTCTGTCCAGTCTGAGACTGTTGTTACCTTAATTATTAATCTGTGTAGCCAAGGGTAATTATTTCAAAACAGTTATGTAATCCTTCTCATTAAAAAGAAAAAACCTTTTATCCCTGAGTTTACACATAGTTCACTATGGCATACATATTTTCACCACAATGCTCTATTCCCAAATAAATATCTTTTCTTTTCGCCTCTCTCTGTTTTTTATTTAGGTAGATGATCTACACCTTTAATATCTATTAAGACTCGACTACAAACAGGGTTAACAAGGTAGTTGTTCTACCGTAACTGGGTAGAACAACTTACTTTTGCA